TACCATATTGCTTTGATTACTGTAGCTTTCTAATATGTTTTGAAGTCAGGAAGTGTGAGACTTCCAATTTTGTTCTTATTCAACATGTTTTTGGCTATTTAGGTCCTGAGATTCCTTACGAATTTTAGGATGGGTTTTTCTATTTCCACAAAGTGTCTCTGGGATTTTGATAGGGATTGCATTGTTTCTGTAGATCACTTGGGGTAATATTGTCACCTTACCACTATTAGGTCTTCCAATCCGTGACTATCGGGTGTCTTTCTACTTATTTATGCCTTCTTTAACTTTTTTCAGCAATGTTTTATAGTTTTCAGTATACAAATTTTTTGCCTCCTTGGTTACATTTACTCCTAAGTATTTCATTCTTTTTGATGCTATCATAAATGGGATTGTTTTCCTAATTTCCTTTTTTGGATTGTTTATTGCTAGTGTATAGAAATGCAGCTGATTTTGTGTGTTGATTTGTATCCTGCAACTTTGCTGAGTTGTTTATTTGGTCTAACAGTTTGGTGCAATCTTTGGGGTTTCCTTCATAGAAGGTCATGTCATCTGTGAACAAATATAATTTTACTTCTTTCCTTGCAGTTTGAATGCCTTTTTATTTCTTTTTCTTGCTTAGTGATCTGGCTAGACCTTGCAGTGCCATGTTGAATAGAAGTGGTGAAAGTGGGCATCCTTGTCTTGTCCCTGATCTTAGGGGAAAATCTTTCAGTCTTTCACCATTGAGTATGATGTTAGCTGTGGGTTTTTCATATACAGCTTTTATAATGTTGAGGCAGTTCCCTTCTGTTCCTAGTTTATCACATTTCTTTCAGCACAGGGCGTGAATACTGATATAGTGGGATTAATATCTATCACATCTGTTACTTCTATTTGCTGCCATTGTTCTTTCTTTTCTTTCTCTTCTGCTCTTTCTGCCTCCCCTGGTTTTAACTGAGCATCCTTTTATATGTTTCTATTTTCTTTCCTTTCATAGAATATTAATTATACTCATTTTTTTAAAAAGAATTTTTAGTGGTCACCCTTGAGTTTGCAATATACTTTTGCAACTAATTTAATTCCATTTTCAAATAACACCATTCTGCTTTGTGGTTAATACAAGTCCTCACAACCGAGTATTCCCAATTCCTCCTGCTCAAAGCTTATAGGATTGCTGTCATAAGCTATAATAATCAAATATATTGTTGCCATTATTTCCCACAAGCTTTTATCCATTAGCTCAATCAACAAAAAGAAAAAAATATTCTATTTTACGTTGATTCCTTCCCTAAGGCTCTTACTTTCTGTATGCACATCCCAATTTCTCATGTCTATCATTTTTCTTCTCTCTAAAGACTTCTTCTAACATTTCTTGCAAGGCAGGTCTACTAGTGACAAATTTCCTCAATTTTTGTTTGTCTATGAAAGTCTTTATTTCCCTTTCACTTTTTGAGGGATGATTTCCCTAGATATAGATTTCTGGGTTGATGGTTTTTTCTTTCAATACTTTAAATATTTCTCTCCACTCCCTTCTTGCTTGCATAGTTTCCAAAGAGAAGTCTGATCTGATTTTCCCCTTCCTCCTCGATAGGTAAGGTGTTTTTTCCCCTCTGTCTTCTTTCAAGATTTTTCCCTTGTCTTAGATTTTCTGCAGCTTCAATATAATATACTTAGGCATAGAGTTCTTGGAATTTATGTTCCTTGGTGTTCTTTAAGTTTCCTGGATCTGTGGTTTGGTGTTTGTCATTATTTAGGAAAATTCTTGGTCATTATTACTTCAAATATGTCTTCTGTTCCTTTCTCTCTTTCTTCTCCTTCTGGTATTCCCGTTACCTGTATGCAATTGTCCCACAGTTCTTGGATATTCTGTTCCATTTTTTTCATTCATTTTCTCTTTGCATTTCGTTTCGGAAGTGCTATGGTCTGAAAGTTTGTGTCCCCCCCAAATTCATATGTTTAATCCTAATCTCCAAAGGTGGTGGATGGATGGATGCAGAGCCCTCATGAATGGGATTGGTGTTCTTATAAAAGAGGTCCAGAGGGAGCCTTTGTCCCTTCTGCCATGTGAGGACACAGAGAGAAGGTGCCGGCTATGAACCAGGAAGAGAGCCCTCAATGATGCAACCATGCTGGCCCCTTGACCTTGGACTTCTCAGCCTCCAGAACTGTAAGCAAAGAATTTCTGTTGTTTATAAGCTACCCAGTCTGTGGTATTTTGTTATAGCAACTCAAATGAACTAAAACAGAAAATTTCTATTGATATTTCTTCAAACTCATTGATTCTTTCCTTGTTCATGTACAGTCTATTAAAGGGCCCATCAAAGCCATTTTTTGTTTCTGTTACAGTATTTATTTCTAGCCTTTCCTTTTGATTCTTTCTTAGAATTTCCATCTCTCTGCTTTACATTACCTATCTGTTCTTGCATGTTTTCCACTTTTTCCCTTAGTTCCTTTGCATATTAATCATAGTTATTTAAAATTCCCAGTCTGATAATTCCAAAATCTCCTGCATGTCTGAGTCTGGTTCTGAGGCTCGCTTTGTCTCTTCAAATTGTGTTTTTGTCGTTTAGCATGCCGTGTAATTTCTTGTGAAAGCCAGGCCTGACGTACTGGGTAAAAGGAACCGAGGTCAGTAGGTCTTTAGTGTGAAGTTCTATGTTTATCTGCCTAGGAGACAGGCTATGTTTATTGTTTTCATGGCTATAGATATCAAAGGCTAAACTTTCCTCTGGCATCCATTGTTTTTGTCTCCCTTGTTGTCTTTGGGTTTCCCTAGAGACTTCTTAAGTAAGCCCTGAGACATAAAGTTGTAATCTCCTGGTATTACACAGGAGCTCTATTGATGTGATGATAAGGTGTAGGGTAGCAGGCTGGGCCAGTATTGTAATGGTTAGGTTTGCATGCTCCGCTTTGGTAGCCCGGGGTTTGCAGGTTCAGGTTCTGTGTGCAGACCCACACACTGCTCATCAAGCCATGCTGTGACGGCATCCCACATACAAAGTAGAGGAAGACTGACACAGATGTGAGCTCAGGGCCAATCTTCCTCATCAAAACAAAACAAAAAGGTGTGGGGTAGCACAAATGTTTTATAGTCCAATGATTAGGTCTCAGTATTTTAAAGAGCCTGTATCCCTGGACTGGTACCGTCACACGGTTACTGAATGCTTCTCAGTTTCACCACAGCCCGTAGGATGAGAGAGGAAGGTAGAGGGAGTAGAGTTGGCTATTTCACGTCATCCTTGAGGAAGGCTGCTGGGGGTGGAGTCTGGTATTTCCCTTCTACCAAGATAGGCTGTGATAAAACCCGAGGTAGGTGGACTCTGGTAAAATAGTTCCCCTTGATGGTAGGCTTTGGTTAAAAGCACAGAATGCTCTGGGAAGATTTTTAAATGGTTCCATTTCCCCCACCTCCTGTGGGGGCATGAAAGGATTTTAACCAATCCACACCCTGAGCACCTGATGGGTCCGCTGAAGATAAAATTCATGGAAGCATGGGGCCCACCTAAGACAAGACTCCCTTGAAAACTTTAACTCTCAAGCTTGTCCATGTTAAGTCTCCAGCAATTTGTCAATTACAGTTTAAATTTTCCTGTCCAGGTGCTGGCGCCGCTGTCTCTGCTCTCGTAAGCTGTGTCTACCTGTCTGTCTCCCCAGTTTGCGGGGCAGGAGTTATCCTGTGACCTCAATTCTCCGATGTGTCTAAAAAGAGTGGCTGATATTCAGTTTGTTCAGTGTTTCTCTTTGTGTTATTGTGATATGCATGTTTACAGTTTCTCGTACAAGAGCTTCTAAATCCCTTGGAATTTCCTGAGTGATAGGGGTGAGAGGAGCATCTTTTGTTATTCATCATGAGCCCCTTTAAACCACACCTAAATTTATGCTAATAAAGTGGGCCCTAGATAGCTTCAGGATGGGGGTTGGTCAACACGAAGACCAATATATGATTAGAGGGTTGGACTTTCAGCCCCATCTCCCAACCTCTAACAAGGAGAGAGGGGCTGGAGAGGAATTCAATCTCCAATGGCGAATGATTTAATCAATCATATCGGTGTAATGGGATCTCCATCAAAACCTCTAAACAGCAGGATTTATAGAACTTCAGGGTTGGTGAACACATGGAGGTGCTGGGACGGTGGTGTGCCCAGAGAGGGAAATGACAAGCTAATGGGAACACTGGTTACTTGGCGGCTTGGAATTGTGAGCTACGCTCTCGGTCATCTGGTGAGCTGGTGTTGGGGAGTCCCCCCAAATCAGTAATTGTTTTAAGGATCTTCTATTTGGGTTAGTCAAATTCCTTCTAAGAGGCTCTAAAAAATCTCCTGCTGGGAGGGTGCGGCCATAACTGCCAGCGCTCTGTGAGCTGAGCAGCAGAGGAGAGAGATTTATTCTTCAGTTAATATGAAAGTTACCACAGACACTTATTATGAGGCAAAAACCGAAAAGTGACTGTTTAGATAGATTTTATAGCCCCAAATATTATCAGCACACATTTAAAATTTTAAGGTGTTTATTTTATAAAAGCTTATATGGTACTACCTGAATAGGACTGGAAGAGGCACTTAATATACCCTTACTGACAAGATTAAACATATTAACAGAGAAATAAAAACAAAACTAGATCAGCGATTAATTTTAGAGGACAATGAACTGCTTTCCTGGAAAAAGAAAGATATTCAATACAAGAAAGAGTAAAGAACACTTACATCAGGGAAAACCAAATTTACAGATTTAAAAGCCATGATAGAATTAACATTTGGGAGAAAAATTTACTTAAAATTATAACTCATTTCTTAATCGTCAAGAGGATAGTGCAGATTCTTGGAATAACTAAGAAAACATCTGCGATAACCTTTCACCCACAGTTGAGAGTGGAACCACTGTCCAAATGACAAGGTCACTTCCCATGCTTCATATAAGCCGTTGGTGGCGATAACTCTATTTTAGCCACGGTCGTTGAAAACTCTTGTTAAAATTCCTGCTAAAAGAACAGCTACAGCACCAGCTAAAGCTATTCCCCGATAGAAAATCAACTGGCTCCTTGTCAAAACATCTCCAATGGTGGGCATTGCATTCTGGTTGTTTTCTTCAATTATCATCAGTTGGGTGGTCTGGCTCTCCGGTCTGATGACATCAGGTAAAATCACTCCGTCGGTTACTTCTTTACTCAGGCTCGGTAGATCTGTGTCCAGAGAACAGCAGGATATTTACTTCCGTACTGGGTTGTGTAAAGGGATGTTACTGAAGGTTACACAAGAATACACTGTAAACAATGACTGTCAGTCACTAATTGGTATATGTAAAATTACATTAAAGAAATTTCATAAGAGAACCCAGAGTTGATCTCTCAATTAGGCCAGAGACAAGTTTTATTAAGCAAGAGCGAAACTAAGCAGCTCTGACTTCACTAAGTTTCAGACTTGTAAGACAGAACCAGAGCACCCTGAAGAAAGCTGTCTGTTACCTGTCGGGGGACGCGCCGTCTCTCTAATTCCTTTCAGCCCAGCTCGAACCTGTGCCTGGAAAGGGGGCACAGGAGTAAACGGAGCATAAGTCACAGCAGGCTGGTGCTCTGTTAAACCTTCAATTAAGCTACTGCTGAAACTATTGCTAGAAGATCGCAACATCCAGCACAGTGTTTTCCATCCTGAAAATGCCAACAGCAATAGAACACACCAGACAACCACTGTTCTCCCCAGCGCTCAGCTCATAATAATGATTGAAAAAGCTACTTGATGCTGTAGCTGCAACTCTAACATATTTTATGCACTAGTGTTCCCAAACCCTGATAAAAGGAATAAAGTTTAAAGATAAATGGTATTATCATCTAATAGGTAGTTGATGGTCCAACTGAATGTCCTGGACACTTTATTTCCTCCATAAATCTGACTGAAAATAGGAAAGACATAAACCATCACAATTAGGAAAATCAAGAGATTTGAAACCGAGAGCGTGGTCAAAACTGAAGCAGTGGCATCCTCACGTCTGCTAATGAACAGCACCTCCCCCAAGCCAACCTCCCCTCCATCTCATCTGGAGCCTTGACGCAGTGAACAGGGCTCACGACTCAACACAGAGATGCCCATGTGGTCAAGACCCCAAACCTCTACCCGTAGGTTGTAGTTCTGCCCACAAGTACTTCCCCCCATCACAGATACTCAGCATCCTGCTTTTTAGGAAACCAGGACCAAGAGAAATTTTTTTAAAAGAGACCTACAAACCAGACAACAAACCAATATAAATAAGAAACACACTGCTGTGTTTCTAAGACTATTACATCAACCAGCAAAACACTTTCCAAGCTAATTCCTTTTTTATGTAGGCTGAGTCCTTGGTTAATAGATACTAAATCAACTCAATACTGAGAGGAGAATGTGCTGAAATATGGCTTTCTTCTGCTGCCAACTCCCATATTAGATATATTTCATGATTGCAAGTGAGTCATGCCGTCAATGGCATTCCTGTCCTTTTGACCCTAAAAGATCCCTTTCTGTGTCACAGGATCGAGTGGAGCCACATTTCTGAAAGGACAACCTGTCTCTTACCTGCTCTGCCACTCGATTCCAGTCTATCCTGAAGATGTACACCATGTAGAAAACGGCTTGAAAGAAGACACAGACTATCAATCCAGACCAGAGACCTAAGGGTGCAAAATCAATATCACGAGTTTAGATTGGCTGCAGTTCAGTTCCCATCAACGATAAAACTCTTCCCGAACTACCGGATCCACAGAGTAAACTTTAGTTGAATTAACCTCCCCCAAACCGTAGATAATCATGGACCAGGCTTAGACTCCAGCTTACTGCCGATCTGTCAGAGGCAATCACTCTATCAGCGAACAATCAAAAATGACCCCAAACTGGTTGCTGCGTTACATGTTGATGTAACAAATATTTACGGGCTTTGTTTGTGCCAGGCATTGTTTTAAGTGCTAGAAACACAGAAGTGCACCGGCTGACAGAAGAGTACCCTCACGGAGCTCATATTCTACTGGGAGACGAGCAATCAACAAGGAAACAAAGGTGTCACTTTCAGAGTGAGAAGGGCCATGGAGACATTGGGCAGAGGCTGCAATAATGGCCTGCGGCCGCTGAGAGTCAAGAAGATGGTCAGGCGGCTCTCTGGGGGGGAGACCAGAATGGGCAGGAGGCAGCTGTGACAGCTCCAGGAAGGGCCCTGCAGGCAGAGGGAAGGGCAGGCCCAGGCCCAGAGGAGACCAGCCTGCATGGCCTAGCAGCAGAAAGGCCAGTGGGGGTGTGGCAGGGGGGCGGGGAGGGCTGATGGAGGGAAGGGGGTGAGGGAAGCAGGACACGCAGGCGTTCGAGCCCCGAAGGACCCAGGTTTGATTCCAAGACCAATGGGAACCCGCTGAAAGCTTCCAGACCAGTGTGCCTGAGACCTGATGTTTTCAGAAGTCCACTTTGAAAACGCTCTCTCCCACTGCTGTGTGGAAAAGACTACACACAATACAGCCTCCATGAAAAAAGGGTTTAAACAATGCCTCTCTAGTTCTGAGAAGAAACGATTTAAATCACTTAAATATTAATTCTATATCAAAGTGGCTGTAAAATATCCACTCACGTCAACAATTCCGCTACAAGGCAAGCTGCTTTGGTTAGAGATGGAATATGCGATCAACTGAGAATCAGTCCACTAACTCCTTCCTTACATGTCTGGGGCCCACGTTGGCAGAGGCCCACTGAGGCTGGTCCTCCCCTGGACTCCGGGTGTCACCTCTCCAGCTGAGAAGTAGATGGACTGACAGCTTGCACCCTTCCATGGAGTGATTCCACTCCCAGAAATCCATCCGAAGGAAATATTCTGGAATATCGCCAATAATTCATATACCTAGATGCTCATCACACTGCTATTTATAAAGAGGAGCAATTTAAATGTCCACTATTAGAGAGGCATTAAATAAATGACACAAAGAAATATTATAGAGATGCTAAAAACCATGTCTTTAACACGGGATGGGGGAAACTATATTTTCAGTATAATCCCACATTTGTGATGACAGAAAAAATACTGGAATAAAGACAATTGTAAAATACTGGAATAAAATACATTGAATGCCTCAACTTTTATATGAGAAGTGAAATTATAGGTAATTGAATTTCTTCTGTATATTTTATGCATTTCCCCAAATTTCCATATTGTTGAATTATAACAATAAAGTGTATAACAAAGCTGAGCATCTACTGTGGACCAAGCAGAAGCACTTTTGCGGACAAAGAGGGAAATCTGATGGGTCCTTATTCTAAAGGAGCTTAGAGTCTTGTAGGGGAGAGGTTTTCACTGTTTCCTTTTTTTAGGGAAAGCTGAATGGTAAACCCTCAGCCACTCCAGGGGCAGGGGCTCTTGCTACTTGGTGAAAGGGAATTTCCCCGGCGTCTAGGACAGTGCTTGGTAGACACGAGACAGTGATAAAGGCTCGCCAGTTCTGTGCCCCAAACAGAGAACAACAAAGGCCAACTTGACATTCACCAAATACCCCACAGGCTCCCAGCGTGCACTGGTCATTAAAAAGAGAAACGACATTGAAGACAGTTACTCATTAAGCCACCAACTGACAGCACTTCCAAAAAGTCAAGATAAGAAACTAAGCACCTCTGTTTGTGTGGACACAGGAAGGCTCTTAACGACAGCAGCAGGATTAAAATTTCACAGAGAAATGGGGAGAGAGTTGAAATGTTTTACACGGTAAAATGTCCTGATTGGATACAGAACAAAAGTGAAATCGGCAAAGAGTTAGCCATTGATGACTAAGTATCTTGGTACTAAAGTTTTTTCCGTTTTGCAATTACCGATTATGGCATTTAGCTGTTAACCCGCCCACTGTTACCTGTGCTGCTGAGGCAATATGCTCTCTGACTCCCACTAGGCTCCTACAGATAATGTCTCTGTGGAGCCTGGGTCACCATGGAAATGGGTGTGTGAGCTGTTTTCAGGAATCAGAACTCCTTGTCCACTTCAGGGCTTGGAGACCACCAACTCATCAACCGGCCCACGCAGATGTCCAATAGGCGACCTTTCGACGTCAAGAGGCTAAAAACTCCACCCTCAGCTCATGCTAATGCCGCCATTTTGTGAACTCGGGTCCTGTGACGAGGCATGGAGTCTGACTGCACTTGCGCGGAGCATCAATGACCTCACCTCCCCTCACCTCCCCTCACCTCCCCTCACCTCTCTCCACGTTTCAGACCGCCTTGCCCCTACCCCATAAATGTCCCTGAGTCCCTCTTTTTGGGGAAGTGAGTTTGAGGCTCATGCTCTCGCTTCCTCATGTGGCTGCCTCGTGAGTAAACCCTCTCTCTGTTGCAATCTTGTCTCAGTGTCTGGCTTCTGGGTGGCGGGCAAAAGTGAACCTGGTTCTGTAACAAAAGGAGCTATTTGAATACACATACAGCATTCAGTCAGTCCTCTAATTAGACTACTTTTTTCTAAAGACAATAGAATTTATTGTTACTGAAAGAAATCTGTAGAAAATGCAGATGTGGATAGATCTGCAGAACACATATAGCAGCTTACCCCCGAAGCACAGAATAGATTATTTTGTATAATTCTATACATTTAGAATCTTTTTTTCTTTTAAGATTTTTTTATTTTTCCTTTTTCTTCCAAAGCCCCCTGGTATATAGTTGTGTATTTTTACTTGTGGGTCCTTCTAGTTGTGGCATGTGGGACGCCACTTCAGCATGGCTCAATGAGCGGTGCCATGTCTGTGCCCAAGATTTGAACTGGCAAAACCCTGGGCCGCCGAAGTGGAGCGTGCAAACTTAACCACTCGGCCACGGGGCTGGCCCCTAGAATCTTGATAAAATGGGAAATTTTCTAAAAAAATAATAGCTTGCTAAAGGGTCCCAATAGAAGATAGAAAGTCTAAACATACTGCTTTTCAGAGAAGAAGCTGAGAAAGCCGTAAGAAGGATAAACTCCGCCAAAAACCAGGTCATGACAGCTTCACAGAAGAGTTCCAGCACACCTTTATAAACCAGATCCCCCCTGTACTGTTTAAATTGTTCCGGGCATACAAAAAGGGAACATTTTTAATTCTCTTGAGGAAGTGAGTATAACATTAATATCATTAATATCAAAACCTAAGGAAGCTTACACAAAAAATAAAACTACAGACAAACCTTACTTATAAATATCACTGCAAAATTCTTCAACGTTAACAGAATCCAGCAGCTAAGTCAAAGAATAGCACATAATAATCCAGATTGTCCAATATGAGGAAATCAATTAATCATCATTTATCATCATAATAGATTTAAGGAGAAAAATTATAGGATCATCTCTACAGGCACTAAAAAGTTATTTGACAAAACGCTCTACCAACCTTGTTGGAAACATTCAATGAAATAGACGCCATGGATACTTCCTGAACATGATTTTTAAAAACGTGCTCACACTAACTTATTTATGTGTGTGTGTGTGTGTGTGTGTGTGTCTGTGTGTGTATGTCAGCCTCAAATGCAGCACACTATTTAGTAGAAAAACACTGGGAGCTTTATCTCTAAAGACCTGAACAGACAGTATTTCCACTAATACCACACAATCTATGATACTATTAGAGGCATTAGGCAGAAAAAAGAAATCAGTGGTATAAAATCTGGAAAGGAGAATATAAAATTACTTGTAGATGATATGGTTATAAAAGTGGAAAACCCATGAGAATCAACTGAAAACTACTGCAAATAAGAGGAATTCAGAATTGTAACAAGATACAAAATTCACATGCAGTAATTAATGGTCCTCCTACATACAAACAACAGCCACTTAGATTATATAATGGAAGAGAAGCCCTCATTTACAGTGGCACAAAAGGATAAAATGTCTAGGGATAACCTTAAAAAGAAATGTGCAAAAGCTTTATGAGCAAAATGATAAACAGATGCCTGAGCAGAAGCTAACATTTCCCAAGTGTTCCTCAGATATTTGAACATAAAAGCTGAAAGTGTCAGAGATGCACCCATTGCATGAAAACACAGATGGTCTCCAGGTCTTGGACCAACTAGCAGGTGGATTTCGGGGTTGGCTCCTTCATCTTGGGGCCCCAGTGCATTTATTCTCTACAGACCGAGATCTGGTACCATCCTGAGATGAAACCTAGGAGAGAAGAATTCCCCTGAGGAAGAAATGAAGTGTCTGGAGAACAGGCGCTGCCTCCAGCACCTCCTCTCACTTTCTCTGCAGGAAAACAGGGGCTGAATGGTAACACCTAATGAGAGTAAGAAATATTTGAGTCAGTGCAGTTTACTGAAGATAATAAATGCTAGGATAAATGCCACAGCCATTATAAACTTCCAACTCTTCCCGTCTGAAAGTGACATAAATCCCTCACAGATATGAAAGATCTTATAGAGATAGAACTGGTAAGACTCGGCAGCACGACTGGGACAGAGTTCTTGAGGCTGGGTGGCTGAACAGAAAGGGGGCCAGGAGCCAGAGATGTTCGTGAGACCAGCCCATAAATACCTGGGACATCTGAAAATACACAGATCAGGCGCTCAGGCATGAAGTCAGGTCCAGAGATGGAGATCTGAGAGCCACTGGCATGGGGGGTTGAAGCCCTGAGACTTTCAAGGAGGAGAGTGCAGAATAAGAAAAGCAAAAGGATCATTTCCTGGTCCTTGGTAAGGCCTACATTTCAAGATCATAAAAAAGTGCCAAAAAACAAGAAGAGGATTAGAAACCAAGAGTATCGGGTATGAACTCACAAAAGACAAGGATCTTGCTTGTTTCCCTTTATATTCCCCAGAGTCTAACACAGCAGAGGCCCTGACATGTTTAGTTCTCAGTGAGCATTTGTTGAATGACTGAGGGATTTATGAAACTCAAAGAGAGAGACAACATGCGTAGATAGCAGTGATAAGTGCAGCTCTGGGGGCAACTATCTGGGTTCAAATCCTGTCGCAGCACTTACTATCTGTGGGGCAAATTACTTAATCTCTTCAGGTTTTAGCTTCTTCATGTATGAAATGGAGCTAATGGGAGATCACATCTTTTGTAGTTGTCATAAATTTAAATGCGATAATGTACATAAAAGGTTAGCATGTTTCTGACAAACGCTCTTCATGACTATTATCTCACATCCTATAAGTTATAGCTTTACATTATTATTTTTAAATTAAAAATAAAAATACTGGAGAAGAATGTAGAAAAATGTTAAAATTCTATTGTATAAGTTCTTGCCAGAACAATAAAGAAAAAAGAAGTAAAAGGCATTAAAATTGGAAAATAAGGAGTAAAACTATTTATATTTACATACAACATGATCCTATATATAGAAAATCTTAAAGAACCCACACACACAAAAATACTAGAGCCAATAAATGAATTCAGTGAACTTACAAGATCAACACACAAAAATCAGCTGTGTTTTAATACACCAGCAATGAACAATCGGAAAAGCAAATTAAGAAACTACTTCTATTTACAATAGATCCAAAATAATAAAATATCTAGAAATAAATTTAACCATGGAAGAAAGACTCGTACATTGAAAACTATAAAATATTGCTATAAGAAATTAAAGACCTAAATTAATGGAAAGATATCCTGTGTTCATAGATTGGCAGACTTAATCTTGTTAAGATTGTAATATTCTCACCAAAGCAATCTACAGATTCAAAGCAATCCTGTTAAAAATTCTACCAGCCTTTTTTGCAAAAATGGAAAAGCTGATTCTCAAATTCATATGGAATTCAAGGGGCCCCAAATAGCCAAAACTAAATTGAAAAAGAAGAACAAAGTTGGAGAGCTTACACTACCTGAATTCAAAACTTATCTACACAGCTACAACAATCAAAACAGTGTGGTACTGGCATAAGCCAGACAAGCAGACCAATGGAGTAAAAGAAAATCCAGAAATAAACCCAAACCTCTATGGCCAACTGACTTTCACCAGGGGTGCCAAGCCCATTCAAGAGGAAAGAAGAGTTTCTCAGCAGATGGCGTTCACCTCATCCACGTAGCCGTAGCCACATCTCAGGTCGGAGCCGATGCATCACTACCTTGGGCAGTGTTCTGGAAGCCAGTCGGGCTTAGATGTTCCCTCCAACCCCGCAGAGGCACTCACAGCACCCAGCTCTTCTCCTCTGCAGGACTTAACCTAAATGGAATAATCGCATAACTAACTATTTAATCTTGATCTCATTCTGAGGGCAGGGGTCATGTTCATTTGGTTCAAGACTGCATTTCCAGAGTTTTTTGCACAGAAGAGACACTGAGAAACTATTTGAGGAGAAAATAATTCCTCGGGGGCCATTTTCCAGTCAACTGCTTTACATCTCAAGCAGGTTATCTTAACACAAGTGAGACTGCAGGCAGGTAACTGAGGAATCAAAAACATACCTATTATCCCAAGTTTAGCGGCAAAGATCAGAGATACTCCAATGGGAAAACCAAACACATAATAACCAACGACATTCAAGATAGCGCCAATCTTTTGTTTTCCTGTACCTCTCAGGATTCCACCACAGGTGCCCTAAAGAGAGGAAAACCAAAAGCAGTGTTGCAGTCACACAGCTGTATCAAGTTCAGAATACAACAACCATATTTCACAAGTTTGAACACAGGCAAATAGTTATGTTTCAAAACAAGCATTGCACATTGTGTAAGAGATCCAGGGAAACCTTTTGCTTCTGAAGTTATGCCAACGACAACAAAATATTGCAGCTTTCATCAGAAACCCATCAGATAGCATTATTTAAATCTTCAGCCATTTAAAAATATTTTGTAATAGCGTATGTTAAAAAAAACATGTAGAGGTTTCAATAACGGAAGTCTCAGCAGAATCTAGTCCGATGTCATGGCTGAAAAATATTAATGCAATTAAAGGCTTCAAAACCGCTCAGAGCCAGAGTGGCGACAATCCTTGCTCTCTTCCACATTATTCTTACCACAGCAAGTGTTCAATCACGGGTACCACATCTTTAGCGTGACAATGACAAATAGAAGAAATTCCTTGGGGGGAAAAAGCAAGATGGCAAATTGACCTAGAAATCAAGTCATGAGGACTAACTGGTGAAACTGGGAATGAGCCTCAAGGGCTAATGCCAAGGGATAGCAGAAGGGTCTTCAAGTACCTGTAAATCTACAGAAGATCAGCCCGGAGAAGGACTTTTCAGTGCTCACGGCCTGCCTTGAAGGATACGGCAGAGATCACTTCATCACTTGGCTAGGATGTCACACAGGGCATTGAGGCCCCAGATGAAGTAGGATAAGCGCCAGAGAAGACCAGATAACTTATCCACCTGGAGATGCTACACTCTTAAGTAGCCCATCTTTCCCACAAGTGGCTCAAACCACCTGAAGCAAGAGATCTCTCTTTTCAAAAATGAAATCAAAGACATTTAATTCAAAAGCTAGAAACACAAATTTGCTGTGTATATTAGACAGTAAAATCACTCCGATACTCACTGCAAGTGCATCAAATAGATGAAAGGGAGCAAAAACAGGCATCACTTGGCTCACAAGGGAAACAATATCTCTGTTGGAGGACAAGAAAATAGTCAGTCACCCCAAAATCACATTTAAGTGGAGTACTAATTAACTATTGATCTGAAAAACCTAACAAATTGATCATTCAATTCGGTCAAAATACTACTTTTCTATTTGACGACATGAGTACACGATAAAACCTCATTAATTTAAATGTTGTTAGTTAGGATTTAGGTTAAAAGGGACATGGCTAGGCTGCCACTACAGAGGATAATTCATAAAGTTTTGTTTATAAGCATAAAAATGTGGAGGTTGGGAAGAAAAAGAAGCACATTTCCAACCGTGTATGGTTCTCTCTCTGCATAAGGGAGTCTTCTTCAAAAATGGAGTTGAAGGTCAGTGTTCACACAGGCAATATTTGCCTCCTCGTGGGTCCTCTGAGCTCTGTCTAATTATGATGGAATATCTGCCTGGGGAGGCCCCTAATGAGGGTCCTGGGGCTCCGGAGAAAGACACAGCAGAGATGGAGGTGACTAACAACACTGGATGGATCCAGTGTGGATGCAACACGTGAAACTAGCTACAGTACTCTCCCCAAAGGAAGTCTTCCTGCTTCTCTCCCATTCATCCTAAAGGTGGAGCATGCTGGTCGACAGGCACCAGCAATTTAGACAGAGCCTGAGGTCAACCCTTTCACCAGGGGAGGGAGCTCTTCGGAACAGATCCACAGGACTGAAAAGTTACCTAATGTGTGCACCATCTCTACTAATGAAAATGACAATGTGATATTTCATTCAAAAATACAAACAGTAAACCCATGTTCACCAGACACTGAAGAAATTAATAGCACACAAGAAAAAGAAAGAAAAGAAAGACCAAAATGAGCATGCAGAACAGCTGACACAAAAGGAAACAGAAAGAATGCAAGGAACAAAAGAGAAATTTTTTAAAAATTATAATTAGCATTCTTAGAGATATTCATAAACTAACAACAGGGATTTAAGGAAAAAGGAGCAATTGGGAAAAAGTGGTTGGAAATGAAAAATATGAAAACTAAAATAAAACATTCTATTTAAAGACTGGATAATGAAATGGACATAGCTAAAGACTAAATTTCAATTTGGAAGATAAAGTTGAGGAAATATCCCAAAACACAGAGACAGAAAATGAGAGAGAAGAGACATGTCAGATTAATCCATAAGTCCTATCATTTATCTAAATTTCCTAGAGCTAAAGAAAAATCCAACGCTTCAGACTGAAAGTCTATAAACTGCCACACAGAATAAAAGAAAAAAAGATTCACCTGCACCCAACCACATTCAAGGACAAAAAGAATATCTGAAAGATTTCCAGAAAAAAAATTTCTCCTACAAAGGAAAAAGAGTCAGATTAATATGAAAAGTTTATATCCAGGTGACATCACTGAAGACGGTGGAATAGAAAGCTCTGAGAATCAGTCTTTTAACCAAAATAACTATTGAACTGGCAAGAAATGTAGGAATCAACTGTTTCAGAACTCTGGAGCTGAACTGAAAACTTACAGTGACAAGAGGAGGGCCTGATGAAGAAAGAGGCTTGTAAATATCTGTGAATTTTCGTGTTTTGCATGGTAGCTGCCATTTCCTGTTCCCCGGTTCCCACAGCAGGTAGCTGGAGGGATGGCTGCCTGCATTCCTGACATGGCTGACTGGTGACAAGTTGGGCAATAAGGATCTTGTGTGCCAAAAATCAGGGTTTTATGAGCTGCCAGGAGCAAAATGGCAGGGTGCGCTGACCTGGGATTCTCCCCCCTCCAAAATATAACAAAAGATTGGAAGAACTGAATTTCAGAGAATAAACATAATCCCAGCTCTTTAGAGACCTACAATACCAAGAAGGCGGAGATCATAAACCTAGCTTTACACCTTCGGAGGCCCTGGAAGGGTAGAGAGAACATCGCTCCCTCCCCTAGAGTCTGCGATCACTGCGGCGTGGGTCGGGAAGGAGCGGGGGAGGGGCCGCGCGACCAGGGGATCATCCAGGACTCCTGCCGCTGATTCAGTGGAGACCCGCTGACAGGGGGGAGAGCTTCCGTCCGCGGGGACCCTATAAATCAAGGGCCTTGGGAGACCAGAGAACAGAACTGATCTGAACCCAGACCGGCGCGTGTGAGTAACAGCCCCTGCCCCCTAACAAAGCCAGTGGGCGCAGCCATCTTGCCCCAAGGCGGAGAGCTAACATGCCGCTCTCGACCCCCATCTAGTGGCGACAGGCTGTAACTGCAACTGAATTCTACCACCATGAGAAAAAACCGCTCCTCTACCATCCAGCAATTTATAAAAGCCCCAGACCAGAAGGAAAACAATAAAAACACAGAATTAAGTCCTGAGGACTTGGAATTAGGTAAACTAAGTGATAATGAATTCAGAGCAGCTATAATCAAAAAACTCAATGAAGTAGAGAGAAAGATAGAGAAACAAGCCAAGTTCTGGAGTTACTTCACAAAAGAGATTGAAATCATAAAGAAGAATCAAACAGAATTACTTGAGATGAAAAACACAATGGACCAGATAAAACAGAATACGGATTCCCTGAATGCCCGTGTAGACAACACAGAGGAGAAAATTAGCATAATCGAGGACAGACAGGCTGAATGGCACCACACAGAGGAAGAAAGAGAACTAAGAATTAAAAAAAATGAGGAAAATCTCCGAGAGATAATGGATTCAATGAGGAGTAAGAACATAAGGATCATAGGAATTCCCGAGAATATGGAAAAGGAAAATGGAGCAGAAAGTGTGCTTAACGAAATTATTGAAGAGAACTTCCCAAATCTAGGGATCAACGGAGAAATGTGTGTAGAGGAGGGTTTTAGATCTCCTAGATTTGTCAATGTAAAAAGAGCTACCCCAAGGCACATAGTAGTAAAGTTGGCAAATAGGAATGATAATGAGAGAATACTCAGGGAAGTAAGGGAAAAAAAAAGAATAACCTATAAAGGAGCCCCTATCAGACTGTCAGTGGATTTCTCTACAGAAACCCTACAAGCTAGGAGAGAATGGAGTGATATATTCAAAGCCTTAAAGGATAAAAACCTTCAGCCAAGAATACTCTATCCAGCAAGAATTTCCTTCAGATATGAGGGAGAAATTAAATCTTTTCCAGACAAACAAAAGTTAAGGAAATTTGTAACTAAAAGCCCTCCATTACAAGAAATCCTCAAGAAGGCTCTCATACTTGAAAAAAAAGAAAAAAGGGAGAAAGGGGACACAATCCACAGACTAGGGAGACTGATGGATAGAACCAGAACAGGATAGCAAATATTCAACTATAGCATTAGGGTAAAGGTAAGGAAACTACCAAAGCAAGGATGATCTTAGCACTCTAACTACCAATTAATAAGACGAGTTGGAATAAAAAATGAAAATAATTATTTAGGAGGGGAAGAGCAAAGGGTCTAAATCAGTATTGGTCGAGTAAGTAAGAGACCACCAGAGAATAGACTATATTATACACGAGATTCTAAATACAAACTTCAAGGGAGACACTAAAATAAAGTACAGAACAGAGTCACAAATCATAGATAAGGAAAAATATAAGAAACCCAGCATAAGAAATTGCAGTATTAAATGGGTAGTCTAAAGCACACAGGAAAAGAAACTCAGGAAAACAAGATAATGAGCGACAGATTGACAGCATTAAGTCCACATGCATCAATAATCACTCTCAATGTGAACGGACTGAACTCTCCAATAAAAAGACACAGAGTGGCAAAATGGATTAAAGAACAAGATCCAACAATTTGTTGCCTCCAGGAAACACACCTCAGCCCCAAGGACAAACACAGACTCAGGGTGAAGGGGTGGAGGACAATACTTCAAGCAAATAGCAAGGAAAAAAAGGCAGGTGTTGCAATTCTCATATCAGACCAAGTGGATTTCAAAATAAGACAGGTAAAGAGAGACACAGAGGGACAATATATAATGATCAAAGGGACACTTCATCAAGAAGAAATAACGCTTATAAATATCTATGCACCCAACACAGGAGCACCAAGATTCATAAAGCAACTATTAACAGACCTAAAGGAAGATGTTAAAAACTACACAATAATAGTAGGGGACCTCAACACCCCACTCACATCAATGGACAGATCATCCAGACAGAAAATCAACAAGGGAATAGTGGAGCTAAATGAAAAACTAAAACAATTGGACTTAATAGACATACATAGATCACTCCACCCTGAAAGAGCTGAATACACATTCTTCTCAAGTGCACATGGACCATTCTCTAGGATAGACCATATGTTGGGAAACAAGGCAAGCCTCTACAAATTTAAAAAAATTGAAATAATAACAAGCATCTTCTCAGATCATAGTGCTATAAGGCTAGAAATTAATTGCAAGAAAAAAGCTGAGAAAGGCACAAAGATGTGGAGACTAAACAACACACTACTGAACAAGCAATGGATCATTGAAGAAATTAAAGAAGAAATAAAAAAATACCTGGAAACAAATGAAAATGATAGCATGCCACACCAACTCATATGGGATACAGCAAAAGCTGTATTAAGAGGAAAATTCATCGCAATACAGGCACATCTTAACAAACAAGAAAAATCCCAAATAAGCAACCTTAAAGAACACCTAACTGAACAAGAGAAAAAAGAACAAATGAAGCCCAAAGTCAGCAGAAGGAGATAAATAATAAAAATCAGAGCAGAAATAAATACTATTGAAACGAAAAAGGCAGTAGAAAGGATCAATGAGACAAAGAGCTGGTTTTTTGAGAAGAGAAATAAAATTGACAAACCACTAGCCAGACTTACAAAGAAAAAAAGGGAGAAAGCTCAAATAAACAAAATCAGAAATGAGCGAGGAGAAATAACAACAGACTCTGCAGAAATACAACAGATTATAAGAGAATACTACAAAAAACTATATGCCAACAGAATGGATAACCTAGAGGAAATGGATAAATTCTTGGACTCCTACAATCTCCCAAAGCTCACTCAAGAAGAGGCAGACAATTTGAACAGACCAATCACAAGGAAAGAGATTGAAACAG